ATCTTTTGTAAAAATTAAACATTTCTTCTTCATCATTGAACTTCATTCCCACCTCTGGCACAATGACATTGTCTACTACTACAATTTCATCATCGACGAAGTTTGAACTGTCGAAAATGTTGTCATTTCGTCTTCTAATAGAACGACGTCATCAACCTCTTCCAAAAATTTTTTGCCTGAAGTAAAAAAAATAAAAAGAAAAAAAAGAATGTTACAAGTAATTGACGGAACAAATATTGAATTGAAATCATCTACATTTCACAAATTGCAGATAAAGAAACTTAGATAAATCAACTATTTCCAAAACTTGAAATAACACATTACGTTTGTTATTGGGGTGAAGATATTTCCACATGGTGCAAGAAATACATGCTGAATTATCTCGCTTGGCATCTGAAAGTTTTGATCAAACAAGCTATTCAACTACTTGGATTAAGGATAGGACAATTGGTTATTTTTCTTTACCTGGAACAGGTTATTCAGCATTGAATCCTTCTGATTATCCCAATGGGGAACGTGGAATCAAGGATCGAGGAAATCGATTTTGTTTCAAGATAGGAAGGTTGAAACAAAGAAAAAGCATATGCTGGCTTTGTTGCAAGGAAAAAGCGCAATTGTTGCAAGTGGTATGTACAGTGTGCTAATAATTTTAAATATTATTTAGAGATTGGTAAATGAAATAACACATTACATTACAAAAATGAAACTCAACATTAACAGAGAAAAATGAGGTAATGAAATAGCCATTCAGATCTGGTAATGAAATAACAAAGTTCATCTACCTTTGTGCTTCTTCTATTAGAATAGATGAAGCCGGTGATTGCCTCAAAATGAACTCTTTGTTACGTCGACGACACCTTTTTCGACTGGCGATAGCTTTCAATTTTTTGAGGCCAGAGAAACCGTGGCAATTTTTTGACCTTTTTTGAATAATTGGGATCAGGTTTTCATCTGTTCTGATTAGCAGCATTTTTGTTGAACTGGCCCAATAAAAAAAATGAACCAGCCCAATAAAAAAAGGAACCTTTACACATCACAGTGTAAACCAATAGGTTGAGGGGAAGGTACGAATAGCTTACCGAAATTTATGACGTCCCATAAGAATTTCTGTAGCTAGTAATAAAATAACTTGAGAAAAGAATATTTGGCTTTAACAAGAAAACGTACATCACATTTTTTTTTTCTCTTAGATTACCTAACCTTTGTTGGGTAAACATATTCCAATTTGGTCTGGTCCTTGAAAATTACCATAGTATATTCATTGATTGTACTACATGATTTGTTTATTAACAAATAATGTGACAAGATTTAATTGAGTCAATTTCACCAACCACATAAAAAAAATATTCCCCCCTTTCTTTTTGCTACCTCAACGATCTGTAAAAAAAAATCTGTAAATAATGATTTGCAACAAGCATTTTCCTAAATCACCATTGAATTGATAGAATGATAATCAAATCCCATTAAATGCTATCCGCTCCTTTCATGCACGAATATGTGCTGTCTCAAAATTCAACGACACAATACACAATATGGTGCCCTCAATTACTTCATTGTCAACTTAAGCAAAAAGAGGAGGGAGGGAGGGAGGGAGGG